TAACCCTATGAGGTAGATAATATTACCTCCAGTTTATAGAATGGGAAAACTGAGACACAGAGAAGTTAAATAACTTGCCCAAGGCCATAGAGCCAGTAAGTGGTAGAGCTGGGATACGAACCCAGGCAGTCTGGCTCCACAGTCTGTTTTCTTCACCACTAAGCTATTCAAAAGAATATAATGCAGCCAATTAAAAACGATGGTTATGACGACTATAATAACTTGGAAAATGCTTATGATATAATGTTAGGTGAAAAAGGCAGGATTCAAAACTGTACGTTATTACGGTTACAACAATAAAAGTTTTTAAAAAGACTAGAGAAACAAAAAACATATACCAAAATGAATGGTAGTTTTTTAAAGTAGAGGAATTAATGAGTAGTATTCTCCCTTTTGCTCATTTCCAAATGTTTCATAATGTTGCTAAATATCTTTGTGATTTACCTTCAAAAAAGATAAAAAAGTTTTATACTGATTTCAACTATTAAACATTTAAAATAAAAGCATCGTTTCAGGGGAGAGAATGGTATAGTAAAAAGTCGTTTATTTCAAAATTCAATGTTACTTAACTAAAGCAATAAATTAAAACATTTTTTAAAGAAAAGGTCATTTGGACTAGCTAAACATACATTCATCTCCCTGCTCATTCTTCCTTCTATTTTAAGGTAACAGTAACACTTGGTTAAGTGTTTAAGAAAAGTAGCCTTTTAAGCCTTGCACGCAAAGAAAGTATCTAGGGAGCACTGTAAGCCCCAAACACTGCAGTTAATATAGTATGTTCAAAAAAAGAATATATTCAGCTCTACTCTGCACTGGTATGATCACATCTGGAATGTGATATGAGGGAAATTGCCAAGAACCAGTGGGTGGCATAAGGAAGCAGATTTTAACTCCATACAAGGGAAAGCTGACAAGACTATCTAATAGAAATCAAAACAGTAAGCCCCATCCAATCGGCATAGATGCTGGATGACCACCTGCCAGGAACATTACAGAGGCGGGACAGGATAACCAGAGATGAGACCAGGCTAGACAACTGCTGAAGTCCCTCACCACTTAAGGTCCTGAGATACTATATGCCCTGTACACCTAAAAGATTTGCGAGGCATACTCCCTGCCTGTAGTTGCAACATAGTTTGATATAAGTTAACTCACAATTATAGAAATTAAGAATTACCTAGATTCCACTCCCAAAGATTCTGATTCAGTAAAACTAAGCTAAGGTTTTGCAATCTCATTTAAAAACAGAGATTCACTGGTAATTCTGATGAACTGGACTATACTGTGATCTCCCAGCATTTTTCACAACCTGTGCCCCAGCCTCTGAATGCCGTCTTTGCTTCACCTTAACCTTGTCCACAGATACTCTCTCTTCAGTTCCCAAGCACCTTGCTATGTTGATACTTCTATGGTTTTGTATACAATGCCTTTTTCTACCTACCTAGTCTTTCTCCTATCATGTGGCAAATTCCTGCTCCATCTTTCAAAGCACACAGTAAATATCAGTGCATCTAAAAAACTCCTGATGCCTTTGAACAGGCCACCCCATCTATGCTTCTGAAGCACAGTATAAATAAATTATAGCATTTACCATAGCTTGTTTATTTTTATGTAGACTACGAGCTTTCTAAGGGCAGGCATTTTTGTACTTTTTAACCAGTAAAGTGTCTGACACTAAACAGAAGCTCAATAAATATCTGCTGAGTTGAATTTAACAAAACATATTTATGGATAATTTGAAAACATGTCACATAAAGAATACAATAATAATCTCTCTCCAGAAGGACAGGACTTTTCCCCATCCAATTAAAATAAAAAAGCATCTAAGCTTTTATCGTAAGTCCTTATCTTTCTCAAATAAAGTAAAAGTTCTAAAAATAGACTTTGTACAACTTCAAGAGTTAAAAATATTACCAGTCTACAAGAGTAATACATCAAGGTAATCAATGAACTAAGCAGACTGCTGTTTGACAGAAATTGGGCAAGGAACACTCTGCTGCAGAACTCATTCAAGTATGCTGAATGAATGAGCATCTTGTATAAAAGTTTAAATGTGAAGTTAGAATTTATGAATTATGCTTAAGTTCACAGAATAGCTTGCTGCTAAACTAGCAGACCACTTTTACCTTGAATGTTCTAGTTTCTGTAGGAATAGGTATCAAAATAAATATGTAAGTAATGCTTTGCAGATTAAAAGGCACTTTTCACATAAATTACCTGAATTAATGAGTATTTCAACTAAATTTGTTAAAGAGTACTGATGAACTAGTTTTTCAGTTTCTTTATGCAAATATTTAATGAGCTCCTACTATGTGTTAGGCACTGTGTACTTCCTATATGCCTTTTTTAGTCTTGAAACTAGCCCCCACTGCCACTGCCCCCATTTTAACAGTCCCCTACCTGTTTTCCTGCCAGCAGTCTCTCTCAGTCCAACTCCTCCTTCATAGCTCCCTGTTAGCATGGTATACAAAGCCCTTTACAAATGACCCTAAGCTACCTCTCCTACTTCCTTCCTCACCATTGTCATCATCCTCTCACCCCTCTGCTCCATGCAACTCTTTAGCCAGGCTGAACTTGCCTTTACATAGCTATGTATTCCTTTCTCTTTCTGCCTGACAAATCCATCATCCCTCACATCCCAGCTCCTGTTACAGCTTCCCTTCTAAGACCTTCCTGATTCCTTCAGAGTTGAGAGAGTCACTTCAACTACACTTCATTCCCACTTCACAGTAATTATACCACAGTAAAAAATGTACACATCTGTTTCCTCCATTAGCCACTAGGCTCCTTATGGGCAGGGATATGTTTTCTTTACCACCGAATCTTTTAGTCCTACCTCAGTACCAGGCACATAGTAGATGCTCAATAAATATTTACTGAATGAATGAAACAACTGGAGAACAAACAAAGTGCCAAAATGTGTGCTGCATACTAGAGACGAGGAGTGTGAGCTAATTTCATGGGGACAACTTCTTGGCAAAGGTGGTAGGCAGAATTTGAAAAATGAACAAAATCAAATAGATGGAGAGGTACAGAGAGAATAACTTTTAAATAAAGCATGTCATGTCCATGATTACTTTAGAAAAACAACACTGTACTTACCTTCAGTTACGCCCCCAATAGCAAGAGAAATAATAGCTAAAACGTTTTCACATGATGAGTGATTTATCTACCAACAGAGGAGAAAACAATTTAATTTAGGGGCCAGAGTCCAGACTAGTTTGCTAACAATAAAAACATGTCCTCTGACATTAAAGTATCAGAAATCTAAGATAAACGTATTTCTTATAGAAAATAAAATTACTTTTTAAGATGAAAATACAAAAAATGAACAATATTAATAGAATCATTAATTGTTAAAATAGATCAAGTAAATAAGGGGGTGATTCACTTAAAATCCAATGGTCTTAGGAAGATGGTTACATTAGCATGATTATGGCTACAAGCTAATCAAGTACAGAAGCACTGGGGCCATAACTGAAATCAATGGCACAGGGCAAAGGGAGGGCCAGGGGAATTAATTGTACTGGTGCATCAAAGTGTCTGAGGGTTTTAATAGAGGAGGTAGTGCTTAGATTCCATAACATTATAGAAACTAGCATTTTTTGAGTGTTCATTATGTGTTGTTTTATACAACCTTGAAAGAATGTTATATTCCCTCTTACGAAGGAAACTGAGGCTCAGAAAAGCAAAGTAACTTGCCGAAGAAGAGGAAAAAAATGAGTTTTGATAGAGAATTGTTCAAAAGAAAGGACACTGTATTATGGCCATTAAAAAAGGATCTAGCTTCTTGGGACACAACCTTCACTTGACCAAGAATAAACTGCTGAAAGTTTTTCCTTCCTTTGGGTGCCCCACTAATGGTAAATAAATTCAGAGTTTTCACGTTTAGGTTAAATTTTTCTACTGAAGTTGGATAGGCTTTGGTTATTTTTGTATACTAACTGATGAGGTTGCCACAGGAAAATGAGGGCATGGAATCCAGTTCCCATGCTGAACATTCTTGGCTAGACCTTTCATGCTACCAAAGGTGGGTCACTGTTTATAGAGCAATGTGAGAGGGCCCACCTTCAAATTCTAGTTCTGGCTCAGGAAAATCTCATATCAACTTTTCTTATATTCACTTGGGGAGAGAGCTCATTCGTTAAACCAAACCCTTAAATTGCACTTGGGCTGTCAAAATCCTTAACTATTACATAACTCCTATACTATGATCAAGTCAGCTTTCACAAAGTAGCAAGCTCACTATAGAAAAAATAATCTTGTTTAACTATCCATTCTGAGAATAAAAGCAATTTAAAAAATAACATTGATTAATTTAGCAGCAAAATTTTAACAATAAAGAAAAACATACTTACAATTTCTTCTTCTAGAACACCTCTGAAAGCTTGATCAAGGGTACATTTTTTTTCATTTTCACTATTAAAAACAAAAGACACCTGCATTTTTTAAACAGCTCAAGGTAAGTATAAAGATCTCGGCAAGTGTATTTCATGGATATCAATGCCTTACCTGCCAGGTAATTGGCTGAAGGTACTCAACAATGGCTTGATATTTTTGTTGTTCAGGGCCTCTCTGGTAGACTTCTAGAAAAATAAAAATAGCATGTATGTGGAAAGACATCACTCATCAATATTATGTCCAACTGGAAATGCTTATACTTGGAAAAAATTACCTATCAGTCATTACATCAGTAATTCTTATTCAAATGCCATGAAATGATACAGACCCTAATCACTTTAAACTTGACAAGAGCTTGCCAACTAGACTTTCTCATTCCAGGCTTTCCCTCCTACCATTTCTTTAAATATCACATTCATGAGAGTATTCTGCCTTTTTTTTTTTTTTTTTTAAATCTCCAAATGGCTCCTTATTTACAGGCTTTGGTTTTAAAATTTCATAGCCCCTTCTCAAGGTCCTTAATGTTATCTCCCTCAGTCTATCCAACCTTATTTCCCACAACCGCCTAACATAGTCTCCACTAAGGTCTAGCTATTTTTTTCATTATTTTCTATCAAGCTCACTCTAGTGTATTTACTCACCGTTCTTCCCACTGGCTCATGCAAATTCTATCCATTCTTTAAGACCCATCTCAAGCCCCACATTCTCTAGTTTGCTCAGCCCAGTCCCTGACACATAGTCAATACTGAATACTTGTTAATTGTCTTAGTCATAATTCAAAGCCAAAACAATAAAAAGGGATTTTGGCTCAGTAGGTAGAGCATGTGATGCTTGATGTTGGGATTGTAAATTTAAGCCCACTTTGGATGTAGAGATTATTTAAAAATAAAACCTTAAAAAAATATGAAAGACAAAAATATTGCAAAGTCATTCATTCTGTGGAAATTCACATACACTTGGAAAGTTATCTCATTACCCCCAGGAGTTTGATTTACACTGGAAATGTCCACTCCTGACTCTGCCAAGAGTAGACAGTATACTCTTGGGCATATCTCTTTATCTCTTTGTGCTTCAATTTCCTCTTAAATAAGGGGGCTGTTGTAGATGCTTATTACTAACAGCAACAGTGGCATCACCTGGGAACTTGTTAGAAATGCAGACTTTCAGGCTCCATTCCAGACCTACTGAACCAGAATCTCCAAATGATTCCACTGCACACTGAACCTTAAGAAGCACTGCACTAGATGATCTCAAATTAAATGGTCCCATCCGGGACTAATATGATATTGGATATTTCTAACAGGTACTCTTAGCAGAATTTCAGAGCACCAGGGATTACAGAAAGAAAACGACTCTAAAGACATAAACAACATAAAACCTGATTAACAAACAAACCCTCATTGTATGGGATAAAAAACGTGCACACAAGAAAACTTTTTATTCTGGCGTTACTAGAAGTAGGTAAGCACAGTTAAATATCTGAGCAGTTGAATCATGACTTGAAATACTGGCGCAAATGCTAAAAACAAATATAGGCAAACAACTTAAAACTGGGTTCTTCATGCTCTGATGGGCAACATAAAAAGAATACTGGGTCTGAAGTCAGAAACACCAGCGAAGTACATCATCTTACTTCTGGGGGGGGGGTGTGGTCTCAAGTTCTATCTCATCTACCAGTGTTAACAGAACTTTGCCTACTTCACTGTGCTATTCTAAGAGTTAAGTAAGGTAACATGAAAACGCTCTCTAAGGCGTTTCCCAAATGCTCAAACTACTCTTCCTCATTGTGTATGAATAAAATGACATCCGACAACAATTCCCAGGCTGATCTCTGTTTGCCTTTTCCTACTTATTATCTCCTTGTTAATCTCTTAGGAGTGAGACACCAAGGGTTAAAGGGTGGTGAATAAGCGGCCGGAACTATCACCTGGCAGCTAAGGAGGCGGAGCGGGCGCCAGTTCTCTGGGCTAAAACCACTCGCGCCCTCACCCTTAAGCAATTTTGGAGACACCTGTCTGGCAAGCGAGCACTGCAGAAGAGCTCGACCGCACCGGAGGTTGTCTGCGGATGAGTCCTCCACGCGGGCCACAAAAGCGCCCAGAACGCCGGGTTCAGAGACCTGCGGGCAGAAGGACGGCGGCGGACAGCAAAGGACCCACGGAAGAGGCAAGTAATGCGTCTTTCCCACCTCCCAGACCCCGACGGGGCCGGGAACCGACATCGCGGCGTACACACCTCAGTTCCCACTTTACCACAGGGCAAAATTCGAGTATTTTCAGGGAGAGGAGGAAAAAGATCGAGCCGGGTTAGGGTCCCACCCTCCCACCGTCCACTCACCGTAAACCGCGTCCGCGCTTCGGGCAAACTGAAGAGCGGCGGCATCGGAGACATCTTCTCGGCGGCGCGTGCCCGCCACCACGCTGCGGCGCCCGCCGATGACGTCAAGCGGGAGCAACGAGATTGCCGTCTCCGTGCGCGGCTAGAGCGGCCTGTGAGTCAAGACGTGGGCCCGCTGGCCGCTGGGAGCTACTGTGGTGAGAGTTCAGCCCGGCGTTGGAAGGCTGACTCAGCCACACCACGCTCAGTCCGGATTCGTGGAGAACCGTAGGGGTGACAGCTTATGGGCGTCCTCGCCCTGTAAGCTCGGTGCTGCCTGGCGGGGAATAGGCGTGATTTTCCTGCTTTGGGGAAGCCGGGTGAATGACGGCTAGTAAGGCTTACTGAGTCGCGCGGGAAGGTAACCTGCCTGGAAATCCAGGGCAGGTGGGTTACCTGTAAGTGCCCCACGCTGGGGAAGTGTTGGCAGTGCCCGTGACTTCAGTCATTCTCCCCGAGGGAGTGGTCTTAGCTACCGCCTTGCTGAGTAGTTCATGGACCCTGTAGTTCACTGGGCTCTGTAGCTTAAGCAGTTCTCTCTTCTGTGAAATAGAAATAATGCCGGTTTCACAGGACAGCCGAAAAGCGCGAATGAAATAAAGCAAATGTAGCTTCTCTGGGAATATGAGTATCATTATCAATATCTTAGTATCCGTTAACTTTGCTGCACATAGAAGCCTCTGCTGAAAGAAAGACCGAAGAGGAATGCAGTACTCGGCGCTCGTTTGAAAATGGGTGGCACTGCGTCCAGGGTAGAGGCACCCGTTGCAAAATCCTCTTCTTAGCAACTTCCTCCCTTGTCTCCTGACTGGAGAGGCTTGACCAACGAAAAGCCAAGAGGCAGTAACTTTCTCAGTTGGAATTATGCTGCGGAGAAAGCAGCACTGACCTAAACGCTCTTATTCCCTTCCATGTGTACCTTCTCTCTTCGTTGACATCTAACGAGAATACAGGAAGTTTAAACAAAAGATAACTTTGCCTAGTCTTGCCCTTAAGTGGGAATTGTGAACAATGGTGGCTACTTGAAGCATTACAGTCTTCTTTAGAATTAACAGAATCATTCAAGTTTGTAGGACTTAAACTCCAAATTGGCTGAAAAACCTGGTATTAATTGATTTAACAGGTAGCTGATGTAATAGGATCATTATTATATTACAGATGATTATTAACTATCTGGAGCACAACTAAGACCTGAGAGGTAAATAAATTTCTCTTTTTTACAAGAATCCAAACATAAGAAGAGCTGGAGTTTCTTGACTCATTCACTAAATCCCAGTGACTTAGAATTTTGTTTATTCAGCAAACATCTCTTAGGCACTTTGTACACAGTGGACAATATTTGGTGAATGAGTAATAAATATTTGAACAAATGATTGAATGAACAGAATAATATAGCTTAATTCTTTTTTGAGGAACTCTAGTTGACCTAAAAGAAATAACTATGGTATACAATTTCTATCATGAGTAATTTAGATAATAGCTGCTATAAGTGATCAAAAGAGAATCAATACCATATGTGGTGGTCAAGGAACCTTTGTGGAGAAGACAGACTATAAGCTGGACCTTGAAGGATTCCAATAGACGTAGGTAGGAGTAGCAAAGAGTGAATAGGAGAAACCTTCCCAATGGAAGGAATGGTATGAGCAAAAGTGTGGAAGGGAGAAGGCACAATGAAAAATAGCCATTTATTTTGACTATAACATTGGGTTCTGCACAGAAATAGGGCTGAAGAGTCAAGCTGGAACTAGATTGTATTAATGTTTGAAACCAAAGAATTTTAAGGGTTTAAAAATGGCTTTTATAGGGGGCACCTGGGTGGCTCAGTCAGTTCAGCGTTTGCCTTTGATCCCAGGGTCCTGGAATTGAGCCCTACATCGGGCTCCCTGCTCTGCGGAAAGCCTACTTCTTCCTCTCCCTCTGCTGCTCCCCCTGCTTGTGCTCTCTCTCTCTGTCAAATAAATAAATAAAATCTTTTTTAAAAATGGCTTTTTAAAAAAAATTTTATTATGTTATGTTAGTCACCATACAATACATCATTAGTTTTTGATGTGGTGATCCATGATCCATTGTTTTCGTATAACACCCA